TTTGTGTATGTGCCTTCAAGTTACATGTGGATTTATGGTGACCTCATGAATTTCATAGGATTTTCCTAGACAAAGAATAGTCAGAGGTGGTTTGCCAATTCTTTCCTCTGAAATATAGCTTACAGTACCTGGTGTTCATTGGTGGTCTCCTATTCAAGTATTAACTAGGGCTGACCCTAGCTTCCAAGATCAGATGGGATCTGGTGCCTCTAGGGTATTGAGTGTTGTGATATTGTTCTTAATTCATGTGGTGATACTGTTCCAAATTCTTAGTGTATGTCCTATTTTGCAACTGGTTCCAACTGAATCTCATTGTTCTCCAGTATACAATAGATTCCAGAGGCTTGAAACCTGTTCACCTTTGGAGCATGAGGTGGGAATCAAACAGCCCTCCAGATATTGCTTGACTGCAATCCTCCCCACCCCCACCAGCTGTCCTAGCTAAGTATTGCAGTCCAGCAACATCTGGAGGGCTGCATGATTCCAACCCCTGCATTTTAAGAAGACTCGATTTTATAAAGGTTTTTTATGGCACTGTTTTAGTATTGTTTTATATTATGTTATGAAATGGTACTAATCCTGTGATATCCCCCAACTACTAAATGTGTCTTAAATGTGTGTGTATGTAAACCTATTCGGTGACCTTGGGCAAGTCACATGATCTCATCCTCAGGGGAAGACAATGGCAAACCTCCACTGAACAACTCTTGCCAAGAAAACCCCATAATAGCTTTGCCTTAGGGCCAAGATGAAAATGACTTGAAGGCACACAAAGCACAACTATCTGCCTTCAAGCATTCTCTGGCATCTTCAGAGAATGCTGGAATGGAAGAGAGTGGGTATTTATATACTGTGAGACCCTGGGTAGGGAGGAGTGATTCCCATGTAAATTGTTTATTGCCACACAGCCCGAAAATCCCACCAAAAAAGCATATAGTAGAGATGCTGAAGGCACACATCCCTTAACCGGGGGGGGGGGGGGGTGAGAAAATTGGAGCAAATGCCAATATACCCCACAGTTTTTTAGAACTGAAATAATTCTTGGCTGCATTAAACTCTTAAGGTTTGGCAGCCTTAATTAACCCCCTATCAGTATTCTAATGCAAAAATGTAAAATAATAACAACAATGGAATTGGACAAAGAAAGAAAAGGAAAGGAAAAGGATCAGCTTGCATGAAAACAAAAAGAACACTGAGCGTATAAGATCTGCTGATACATTTTAATTCACAACTTCCTTTGAATTTGGCAGGCAATGCCTCTTATCTGCTGAGTTGTAATCTCCCATGAAAGTCCAGAGCATTCCATTTGCTTTAGAAAAGCAGGTGCTTCATTGCAGGAAGGCCAGTAGCTTAGGGGTAGAGTATTTGCTTTGTATGAACATAGTCCTAAAATCAGTTCATAATATCTCCTATCTGAAACCCTGGAAAAAACTTTTCTAGCTGTACTTGAGCTAAATGGACCAATGGCATGACTCAGTAAAAAACAGCTTCTTGTATAATGATTAAGGCTTAAACCCAATTGCTAGTATCAACTAGAAGGGGGGAAACATTGACATAAATAATCACCTATGGAAATTGGATCTAGGACTTATACTGGCCAGATTCTTGCCTGGTCCTCCTTTGCTCAGCTTTGGTATCTGTAAACATTAGGAGGAACTTCCTGACAGTGAGAGCTGTTTGACAGTGGAACACACTCCCTCAGAGTGTAGTGGAGTCTCCTCCTTTGGAGGTTTTTAAACAGAGGCTAGATGGCCATCTGTCAAGGGGTGCTTTGATTGTGTCTTACTGCATGGCAAGGGGTTGGACTGGTCTCTTCCAACTCTATGATTCTATGAAAAGAACAAAACACTGCAAAACAAAGGAAAAGTTTGCTTTTGTTAATTGCTTTGAGCTGATCTCAGCTCATGGTGACCCTGTGGATGAGATGTCTCCAAGTCTCCCTATCCTCAGTCATTCTACTCAGATCCTGCATGATAAGTCTAACCATCTGGCATGTGATCTTCTCCTCTTTCTACAGCCTTTTACCTTTCCTAACATTATTGCCTTTTCTAATGATGCAACTTAAAGTACAATAGCCTAAATATAGTCATTTTGGCAGAGTTCAGGTATGATATGTTCTTTTTGGCAATCCATGGTATTCTCAGCACTCTTCTCCAACACCACTTCTCAAATGAGTTGATTTTCTTTCTATCTGCTTTCTTCACTGTCTAGCTCTCATGTCTGTACATGGTGATGGGAAATACAATTGCTTGGGTGATCCTATCTTTAGTATTCACTGTTATATCTTTGTCCTTTAGGATCTTGTCCTTCAAAGCTGCCTGTCCTATTCCTTGTCTTCTTCTGATTTCTTGACTGGCTCCAATCCGCCCCCCCCCCCCGGGTAAGGGATGTGTGCCTTCAGCATCTCTACTATATGCCAAGAAAGAAACCTTCTGGAGGAAGAGATGGATACTTTTTTGAAAAAAATATTTTTTCATTTATCTATGCTTATCTATGTTTCTAATGTGAAGTTGTAGGCTTTCATGGCCGGCATCAAAAGTTTTTTGTGGGACTTTCGGGCTGTGTGGCCATGTTCTAAAAGAGTTTCTTTCTGATGTTTTGCCAGCATCTGTGGCTGGCATCTTCAGAGAATGCTGGAATGGAAGAGAGTGGGTGTATATATATACTGTATGCAATACACAGTTTACATGGGAATCACTCCTCCCTACCCAGGGTCTCACAGTATATAAATACCCACTCTCTTCCATTCCAGCATTCTCTGAAGATGCCAGATACAGATGCTGGTGAAACATCAGAAAGAAACTCTTCTAGAACTTGGCCACATGGCCCAAAAAACCCACAAAAAACTATCCATGTTTCTGCTTGAAAGCCATTTCTTGAAGTTTCCTCAAACTGTCTTTAAGATTTCCTACATGATCTTATATACTTTATTCCTGTTTATCCAAATGTAATCCAAATAGAGTACTAAATACCTTAATGACACTAGATCTGTCTGATCTTGGAAGTTAAGCAGCAGCATCCCTGGTTAGTACTTGGATGGGAGACTGCCAAGGAATACTAGATGCTGTAGGCTATATTTAGAGGAACAAAAATAACAAAATAACCTGTGAATATCACTTGCCTAAGAAAGCCCATGAAATTAATGGGATTGCTATAAGTCAACAGGCAATTTTTAATTTCCCTTCTGTTTTGCAAAGCCTCCAAGCCAGTGCTTATTTTCAAGGACTTCTTTGGAAAGTATTTTAAAAAACAAACAAACAAACAAACAAAGAAACCAAAACCAAAACAAAGAGCCAATCCTGCCTCTGTTAATTTGTGTACAGATCAATGTTGTCCTTTTCTTTGAAATCAGTAAAGATTCAGTGCCTTCATTTTCCTTCCCTGTGAGATTGTTTAAAAGGATTGTTTCTGGGAGACAATAATATATTTCACATCTGTAAACAGAAGAAACCCAATAAATTATCTGAGAAGTCTGGAGAGTTTGACGAGAGACTCAGAGAGCACATGCCATCAATAAGGACTCTGCGCTATTATACATTCACCTTTCTTTGAGACAACAATTTGATTTTCTTTGTGGCTTGCATTCCGATTTAGCCCTTGGAAGCATAAAAGCTCATATATGAAAGGAAAGATAAAGTGTGAAGTTAGTCATGTGGAAAGGCTGGGTACTGAATGAGCCATTTTCAAATTAAGCTCTCTCTTTCTCTTGGAAAAATAACAACTGTGCATCCAAAACTCATCTATAAAACGGTTCACGTAGAATTTTAAGTTGTTGGGATTTTTACATCTCATCTGTTCCAAAGGAAGAATGTGGCTATGATGTTATTCTCTATTCTGAAAGATAAATGTTTACAGGATGAAATGCCATGAAAAGATAATTCCTCTTATAAAACACGGTGATTAAAACTAAAGTGCAGATTATACATTTGGCAGAATTGAGGCTTTCCTAGATTGTGCCACCTCAGGTTGAGAACCCATGTGTTGTAGTGGTTTGAGCATTGGACTACAACTCTGGAGAACAGTGTTCAAATCTCCATTCAGCCATGGAAACCCACTGGTTGACCTTGGGCAAGTCACACTTGCTCAACCTAAGGGAAGGGGAAAACAATGGCAAACCCCTTCTGAATAAATCTTGCCAAGAAAATCCCATTATAGGTTTGCCTCAGGGTGTTCATAAGTTGGAAATGACTTGAAGGCACACAACCACCACCACCACTACCACCTCAAGTTACAAGTAGTGGATTGGAAGTTTGCTTCCATGTTTGAATGCTCATCAATGGAGTACAAAGAGACTTCTTTGCAGATAGTCATTTAAGGTGTTCCCTACACATTACAGTACGTGTCAGGTTTGCTCAAACATACAATAACCCCTCCGCATGCATGTACCCACACATGTGGAGCCTGACATGTTTGAGATGTCTGGGAAATGCTACACTACTTGATCCTGTGGAATATATGATCAGGACTTTATTGGGCCTGTGTCCAAGTACATATGGTCAGGAATGGGGTATTTCATCTATGACAGGGGTCTGCCAGATGTTGTTGTACTGCAACTCTTATCACTCCTAACTGCTGTGTAATCTGGCTAGGGCTGATGGGTTCTGGTATAGTGGAGGCAGGGTTAACTGGAGTTGGAAGACTGATGCTGTTTGATTAGCAGCAATGAGTACATCATCCTCCCTCCTCAGCTTCTCTGGGTATGGATTTTATCCAGCAACAGTACAGTCAGCCCTTTGCATCCACAGATTCTTTATCCATGGATCCAATCATCCATGGCTTGGAAATACTATATATATATATATATATATATATATATATATATATATCCCTGAAAGCTTACCTTGATTTTCCCATTTTATATAAGGGGACACCATTTTACTATGCTGCTAATGAGACTTGAACATCCATAGATTTTGGTATCTGTGGGGGGGTCTTGGAACCAAACCCCAGCAGATAATAAGGGCTCACTGTATATTGTTGTGAACTATCTGTTGTAGAGAGCCAGAGTGGTGTAGTGGTATGAGTGTTGGACTATGATTCTGGAGAACAGAGTTCAAAGCCCTGCTCAGCCATAGAAAACCACAGGGTGACCTTGGGCAAGTCCACTCTCTCAACTTCAGAAGATGACAAAGGTAAACCTCCTCTGAAGAATTTTTTTCCAAGAAAACCTCATGACAGGGCTATCAGGGTTGCCATAAGTCAGATATGACTTGAAGGCACACAACAGCAAACTATGGGCCAGAACACATAGCCCTTTAAAGTCACCATCTGGGCGGCTTGTGAGTGTGGCGTTTATATGCTGCATACTCCCACACCACCATGAAGTCACCTGGAAGTCAGGCAGCTACCCAGATATGGGTAGCTTCAAGGTACTCCAGCAGTGTGGCATTTATACACCACATGCCGCTGAAGCAGCTTGAAGCCACCATTTCCCCAGCTGAAAAAGGAGCAGATCTTTGCTGCTCCTTTTTCAGTTGGCTTCAAGGTGGATGGGTTTCATGATGTGTGTTCACTGTGGTCCCAATCTGTCTTTGGAAGGGTGACTTCAAGCCACCCCTTTCACCCATTTGTTTCACTCCTGTGTTGCAATGCAGAGTGATTTAAGATGGCTTGGTCCAAAATGGGCAATTAGGAGCCAATGGCTTTCCAAAAGACCTCCTGATGTAGATAAAAACAGATATAACTAGTTTGTTGATATGGAGATTGTTGATAGTATATTGCCTATGTTTTTGGTTTCTCCTCAGGGTTACAGCTATGGGGCCTGTTATGATGAATACATGCACTTTGAAAATTACCATTACACCACTTGCTGCTTGGGCTTACAGTCCAACAACATCTGGAAGTTGGGCATATAGTTCAACAACATCACACTTGCCCTTTTTTGATTTATAAGAGTAAAAAAAAAAAAAAAATCTAAGGGCCTTTACAGACTGCCAGAAATAATGCAGCTTGAGTCCACTTTAACTGCCCTGGCTCAGTGCTAGGGAATCATGGGAATTATTGTTTTTTCTGAGACATTGAGCCTTCTCTGTCAGAGAGCTCTGGTGTCACAATAAACTACAGTTCCCGTGATCCCCTAGCACTGAGCCAGGGCAGTTAAAGTGGACTCAAGCTGCATTATTTCTGGCAGTCTGTAAAGGCCCTAAGTTTGTACAGAGATAGTGAACTTTATGCAGTTAGTAAAGAAGGCTGGTAACCTTGTCTCTACAGAACTTTATACTGGGTTGTATTGACGTATCATATCAAAATTCTATTTATGACCATGAGGACAAATGGGCAACTTGCATGACCTGTCTACTCTAATGGTCATTGTTGCATATGGAGCTTACAGTGAATTGAAAAGTCTAAATATGATATTCAATAGACAAAGGAATCTTATAAAACCTTTGAGACTCACTGAAAGAGAGAAGTTGGTAGCAAGAACTTTAACAGATTGAGCCTATTTCCTCAGATGCAGGGAGACTCAAGCATGAAATTTCATGCTACCAACTTCTGTCTTTCAGTGAGTCTCAAAGGTGCTACAAGATCCCTTTGCATACTGATTTTCCAGACTACCATGGCTATGAATTCTATGATATTCAATGAAAGCTTCAAATACAGCAGGTCACCTGATAGCCAGAGTGCTGTAGCCATGAAATTTACCTTGGGTCTGTCAACTGCTGGTATTCTGTTGGTTAATTCCACCTAGAGAAATCCCATTGCTTCAGTGGTTAAATGGTGAGTCAACACATAGGCAAATCCCATTGATTCAATATCTCTGTTCTAGCTGGAACTAACAATAGGATTCAGGTCAATGTCTCTTACTCCAATATACCTCACAGAATTGTTGTGAATATAAATGTGTGGGTGTGGGTTCATTGTATACAATGTCACAAGTGTTTTGGAGGAAAAGTTGAATAAAATGTAATACATAAGTTAGATTTGGTGATGACCACATGAAATTATGCTGTTAATCATGCAGTCACCTCAGACATCTCACTGTTCCCAATATCACATCCTTTACCGTATGCCAACAGAAGATGGGGGGAGGCACTCAGTGATGTTCTTTGTGGTTAATCCCTGGACAATACACTCTTATGTTTTCAAAGTTCTTACAGAACTCTGCATTTTTATTTTTGGATCTCATAAAACATCCCCGACCCAACCTTCAGTATTTGAGGTGGGGGTGGGTGGGAAGAGGGCTGGCTACCTTTGAAGTTGTAGATACTGGATACAACCTAGCCAAAGTGAAATGCCTGAATTTTATTTATGCATTTATATTCTACCTTTCAGAGCTATACTGTCTTCTCACGTTGGTTACACAATGAATAGAAAAAGTTCAACTGATTTCAGTAGCAAAACAAATTGAAATCACTGGAATCATTGGACTTCAAGCACCTGCTTTTTGACTGGCTTGTGCACTCACAAATCTAGTCTATTTATTTTATTTCTTCCTAACCTGTGTAAAAGATATACTGTAGTTTCAGTTCAGAGCCTGAGAGATATGGCAGTGTATAAATTGTTCTAAATCTAAGATGTAACTGTAACTTGATTAATTAACTCATTAACTAAATTTAGCACCCAGCAGATCATCTCCTGGCATGCAGTAAACTAGGTACAATAATTAATGGATTTATCTTAGCAGTATTCTCCCCAGAGTCTAAAAGTACTGAAAAATGAGTTTATCTGTAGATAGTGATTTAAAATGGGAAGCTGAAAGAGTCAGATTGTGTAGAAAAGATGGATTAGATTTAGGGTTGCCAAGTCTCAGGGCACTGGCCAAAGGCTTGGGTAGTTGCTATGCTTCTCCATGTGTCTAAGTGAAGGAGTCAAAAATTGAGAGCAAGTAACACCGGAGGAGGAGAAGGTTGATTTCTGGGTGGGAGGTGGCTTTAAAGTTGAGGAGTCAGTTCTACCAATTTATAGGTAGCACCACAACCCTCACACCTCATATGAAGGGGTTTGTTTTTTTTTTAAATGTGTTTTTCACTTGGGTGAAGTCAATATACCAGAAAATCAGGGACAAGGGGATGGAATTGGGGAGAGAGATGGGGAGTGCATGTTCATTGTACCATTTGGAGCAAAGCAGAGGGTGGGTAGGTGGGGGGAACACCAGCATTGTGTTTTGATTTGTAAGCCTCCTTGACTTCAGATTTTTGGGGAACGGAGAGATATAAATAACAACAGCAATAATAAATAGAATAATTGTTAAACAGCAGTACAGAGTAAGGGGAAAATGTCCCTGAGGAATAGCAGTGAGCCTTCCATAAGAGCCAGCAGCAATCTAGGGCCTGGAAAAACAGTCCATGTGTCATGTGCATCTCCTTTCATATATATATATATATATATATATATATATATATATATGAAACTACATTCCCAGATATGTGGTTGGTACACCAATGTTTATCATCAATTGCTACTTCACATGCAATAGAGTCATGGTGGCATGTTATAGCTGCCATGTTGCAAAGCTGTAATGGCCAAGAAGGTCTGGATCCGATACCATTTTAGGTTTAATCCTGATAGAGAGCACTTAGCAGTATCAGTCAAAGACATTGTACAAGTATTCTGCCTTTGCTTCCTCCACAGCTTTTTGTATGTGGGGAGCATTAAAAAGATGGAAGAGTTGGTGACATGAACATTGCAGTTCTCTCTGATCTTGGTGGAAGGCATAATCTCCCACTACATTGTGATTACAAGCAGTGGCGTCCCTAGGGTTGGTGTCACCCGGTGTGGGAACTCATGGTGTCAACCCCTTTATTGACCTCCTCCCATTTCACACCATACCGAATCCTTAGTAATGTTTTTTTGCATTAATGTTACTTGTGAATCATAATTCACATATACCACTGAATGTAATACTGATAGTTGTGACATAAACAACTAGCAAAATTAAAATTATACCTTCAAATTACAATAATATATGCATAACCTAAATGTACATAGTGAAGATTTGGTTAAAATGCAATGTTTTAAAAGAAATTTTAAAAAGAGTATTTTTTTAAAAAAAAATCAATTTCTTACCTTTTTTACTTTTGAAATTTGAAATTTTAATTTTAAAAATTCTGGGGCCCCTTCTTTCTTCTCTCACTGAGCTTCACCTCACTCCTACCATCTCTTAAAGCATTTTAAAGAGATATAGGCAAATGTCACAATGTTTCTGCCAAAATACAGCTGGTTGAGCAGTAGTGGTATCAACCTCCCCCCATTTTAGGGTGTCACCTGATGTGGTCCACGCCCCTGCACCCCTTAGTGATGCCACTGCTTACAAGAATCTTTTGTGTTCATGCTAGCAGAGTACAGTGCGCTAGTTCTGTGAACTTGTTGTTACAAGTAAGAGTAGCTACTCTGAATTGTCTTAGTAAGCTAAAAAGGTTCAATTATTGTTTTCCAAAATTAATTAACAGTGGTGCAAGGGAAAGACTCTAAATTTCATAACAGAAGCCCCTAAAGCTTTCTTCCATGGGTATTAGTCTGCCTAGGAAGCCATTGTGAAGACTCCACATGTTGTTTGCCTCATTCTAGCTGGAAAAAGGAGAAAGTAACCTCAGAGAAAGGGGAATGAATGTAGGAGCAGCATTCACATTAATCTAGAAAAGCCAAGAGGAGAAAACACTGGGAGCTGTCCATCTGCCTATTGTCATTCCCTGTGTTCACATTACTTGCTACAGTGTTGATAATTTAGTGTCCAACATTCCTGATAAAGGTGCAGAACAATGAAATGCTCAAGAGGACTTTCAGGAATCAGGCGAAAGTTAAAAAAACAGAACCCAAATTCTAATTATGATTTTTCCTAAAGGTGTTCCATAGTGTTTTGCAAGTGAAGTCCTAGGACAGGATAGATCCCTTTCCATTGTTTCCTGCCCTGCCAAAGCAAGTCTAAACCTTTTTACAACATGTCTGCCCTACTTCATTTTAATGTCAACATTCCTTGTTTTGCCTCTCACTTCCAGTGTCATTGCCACATCCCAGCAATCCAAGATCAAACATGCAGTGACCATGGGGCCAAGAGCTATAATTTTGAAAGCACTGATGTTAAACCTTCCAAGCTTATGACAACAATAAAAGAAGTTGTAGAAAATGTTCCCTG